GAACATAGCAGATAGAAAAAATTAAAATATAAATCTGAATTTAAGCCTAAAATGCTCAGAGATCATGAAGGCATTATTTAACATACAATAAAATAATTTATATAATTTTTTTGATAGCTCTAACAGTAGAAAGCTATAATTAAAACTAGATTTTTATTTTTATTTTTATAATTAATACCAGATTTTAGGGTGTGCATTAATGAGTGAAAATATGCTATTTTGTTAAAAATATTTATATTGTTATTTCTGACAAGTAGAAAGGTAACTACAGGAACTTTTACAGAGAAAAGTGAGAAGATTATAAACAACCCAACTGGAATTGGAACTCAGCTCTCCAACTTCCAGTTTTGAGCTGTTATCCATTACATCACCTGCACATCAAAGCTTACAGCACCTGGTATTCCTGAGACTACATCCACCTAAGTACTGACCAAGCTTGACATTGCTTAATTTCAGGAATTGTACAAGAACTAGTGTTTCAACATGACATGGCCATAAGCCTGCAAGACAGGACCAAACATCAATTGAAGGAACAGCCCAACATGCAAATTATAAATTGGCAATACAAAAATCGAGGCAAGTACAACAATTTAAATATCTGGGAAGTGTTTTAATAGAGGATGAAAAATGCAACACCAAAATCTGAAAATGCATTGGAATAATGAAAGATGCTTTCCAAAAGCTAAGTAAAGTATTAATAAACAGGAAAATTTTGCTAGAAACACCAAAATAGTATTGAACTGATATTTAATATTGGTCCTCCTCTATGGTAGTGAATGCTGGACAAACTCTTCACAGTTGAAGAGAGTTGAGGCAACAGAAATCTGGTTCTACAGAAGCATATTCAGAGATTACTATGGACTGAACATATGAGTAACAACAAAGTCTTAGTGAAAAAGGACACTTATACTTAAAATCAGAAAGAGGGCTTGGAGAATTCATCACTCATAAGGCATATTGAAGGCAAGAAGGATAGAGGAAAGCAGTGAATAATCTACCTAACAAGCTTGTGTAAATGGTTGGCAGAATAGGGATTAAGAGAGATAGAAAAAAGACAAAAGTTGTGGAGAGCCATGATTGCCCATGTCCTGAAGGGACACAGTGCATAGAAGCTGAAACTTGTATTGACAAACATTTAATAAAGTATTTTGAATTCAGGTAATTAGTTATTTATTTTAACAATGCATTAACAAACATTTTAAAAAGTATTTTGAAAATGGGTAATTAGTTATTTATTTTTAATGTTTTGATATTGTAGAAAACTTTAAGAGTCTATGGAGTATACATAGGTAATCAGGTAATCTCTGTTGCAAATGCTTCCTCAGGTACATTTTTGTTTCTTAACACTAACAGAGTAAATCTTTAATTTATACTGCAACTATGCTGAATGAACCTTAGTCACAGTTTCTAAGAGAGTACATGATCTTCTCACACTGAGATCATCTCCACAGGACACTATTATCAAGAACTCATTATCAACCATGGTGATAGTTGAAACATTAATGTTCTAACCACTTGCTTATGGTAAATAATTAAAGGGGGAGTCAGGTCTGAATTTAATCAATAGTATATATTTTACTTTTTTCTTCTTCTATGTGCCATGTCTCTTCAAGACATAGACGATCATGACTCTCCACAACTTCAATTCTTTGTGGCTTTTGGTAATCCCTATTCTGCCAACATAAGCTCGTTTGGTAGGTTACATGCTGTTTTTCTGTCCCTCTTCAATATGTCAAATTTCCCAAGCCCACTTTCCTCATTATGTGCCCTAGAAATTTTAACTTCATCTTCAGATTTCAGTGCTGCTTTTTCCATCCTCTGTTAAAACACTACCTAGATGTTTAAATTTTTGCACTTTTTGGTATCTTCAATTTATAATGTACTAGCAGTAGAGCCCGGCATTTCCCAGTGATGTAACAGTAAGAGATAGATCAAGTATCGACCATCATAAAGACTGAAAAATAAAATTGACAAAGATTATTGTTTAAGGTTGATGGACACGCATGTCTTAATTATTTTTTTTTGCTTTTGTTTTTTTTTTTTATGATTTGGTCAAACCCAAACTCAAACAAAAACATTGTTTTCAATCGTTATGAGTCTACTGATTGAATAAAATTTTATTATAAACAATTGTCTTGTAAATGGAATTTTAAAGCATTCTGAATGGAAAAATAAAGAAAAAAGTGTGCAAGACAATAAGAAACACTACCTGCCAAAAAAAAAAGTGAAGTTTTGTTGAAATCGGTTGAAAAATATAGGAAATCCGATCCCATATATAAATGAACACACACACACACACACACACAAACAACCAACCTGGGTTTTATAATAAGTATAACTCGATATGAGTTGTCCCCCTTTCATTCTTGTGATGCCTCTTAATCGTGTTTTCAAATTGATTTAATGCAAAAACAATTGTGTTTTTCCAATTTTGGGCACTGTCAGAACCACCGTAAGGTAATTTTACGTAGTCCTGTGAAGTTTTGTTGAAATCGGTTGAAAAATGTAGGAAATCCGATCCAATATATAAACATACAGACACACACACACACACAACCTGGGTTTTATAATAAGTATGATGTGGTAGGCTGTTTCTTTTGCTGACATCCATACAGTTTGTCTTCCTACAGTTGATGTTTAGTCCTTTCTTCTTGCTTTCTTTTGCCACCTTCTGTAGTTCCTGTAGTTCTTTTTTTCTGTATCTATCGACACTGTGTCATTTGCATATCTAATGTTTTTAAGATCGTGGCCATCAATAATAAATCCTGGTAGAACTTCTAATTCTCTCAGAATTGCTTCATTGTAAAGATTGATAAATCTGATGAGAAGACAGATTTTTGTCTTACATCTCTATTTTTGTACATTTACTGAATTCATTTTCTATCTCTATGCAGGTAGTTTGCTCCCAGCATAAGTTCTGCATTTTTCTAATATCAAGCTTAAATAAAACAAGCTTACCCAGAAATTCAAACAGTTCTATGTGATGTACCTTGTCAAATGCTTCTTCATAATCTATAAGACATAAGTATACATGCATTTGCATATTTTTATTTCTCTTTTTTTACTTTTCTCAATTTTTTTTTTTTTTTTTTTTCCTTTTTGATTTATGGGACACAAAGTCTGAATTGCTAAATATACCACCCAGTGAAATATGTAATATTTTGGTTATACATAAATTTCAGTTATTGTTTCTTTGGATTTTGCAATGAAAATATTAAAATTTTATTTTTCAACACTACTTAATACTCATAAAAAGTTCTGAATATTTTTTGGAAATAATTAGCATTCTTTAGAGTACCTTCCTTAGGTGACAACACTTGTCAAAATCAAAAAATGATTGATTTGTTATCGATTTAGTAGGGGGTATCCAAACGATCACTGCCTTTTACAGAATTATTGGACTTAACTAAATACGAAAACAGACTTTCTCTTTAAGTAACGAACAGATATGTTTAAGTAAAGAACAAAAATTTACATAAATTAATAAAATTATGTCTCTGTTTATTCTTAATTTAAGATAAATAATTATGAACCTCAAATGTTTATGCTTTCGAAAAAATCTTATACAAAAAGTTTTTATATCAATATTAAGAAAAGGTTAAAAAATTAAGAAAATTAAAAATAAAACCGATATCATAAGTGATGTTAGCCGTGAGTGAGCACATTTTCAAACTTGCCATTTGTAAAAATAACAGCTAAGTGACTTAGCCTAAAAGGCCCAAAACTTTATAAGTCATTGATTGATTGGACACTAAGAAGCTTACTAAATCGATTGCAAATCAATATATGACAAGAATCGTGTTCTCAGAGTCTAAAAAAGAATGCAAATCTACAAAAAAAAAAAAAAAAAAATTTTTCCCAAAATATTGTTTTCCTATTTTTCATGGGTGGACCAGTCTTTTTAAGTAGTATCTGTATTTTTTCTTCTGATGGTCACTTTGACGCGAGCTTACAAGCCTGTTTCGCTCGATCAATTACGACTGGGTGGTGAGTTCGATCCTTACTGGGTGATCCAGGCTTGCGTCAAGATACGCTTAAATCACTATTTTCTTTTGGTCTGCTTGGTAGTTCAAAATAGAAAGTAAACTTTTCTTCTCTCGTTTTTTCAGTTATCGGAAAAAAAAAACTTTTAGAAACGTCATCAGCAGTCCAGTATTTGTTTAAAAAAAAATTTTTCTAGCAGGAAAAAAATTGTCACTTTTAAAGACAGATTTTAATTCTAAAGTCAAAAAATTAATCTTTTTTTTTTTTTAATATTATTTTATCATTTGTAAAGCAAGGAAGGATTTCTTGTCATATTTTCAACTTAATTTTCAATTTTTCATTAAACAAAAATCAATAATAATTTTACACTTCAAGACTAAGCACATATAACCAAATAAAATCATGACGATATGGTTGGCAAAATTTTTTCACGGAGCACTTGGTTAATTTCATGAGTTTAATCTTTATGAATATCCAACTTTAGTGACCATGTGTCAGCCTAAGCTTCGCCTTTAAAAACTATATGTGTTTTTTTTTATTCAGAAACCGCGTACACATAAAGAAAAGCTTTTTAAAATTTCATTGTTTCTTTATACACAGTTCATAATTTTGGATTGAACTGTATAGCTATCAACCACAAATCTTTGGCCCAGTGAGTAAAAATTTTGGAGAAAAAATATTTAGAAAAACAGTTATCGAAAACAAAACCTTTACAACATAACAAACGAATATGACAATGTAGAACTCTTCTTGAAATAATCTAAAAGTAAACAGAGTTACTTCCCCTGATATTATCCTTGTTATGAACGGAAGTCCTAAGCTGAGTTTGGGGGACCCTTCATTATTCTGTCTTGAGTACGCAAAAAAAAGTAAACCAATGATCCAACAACCGGCAAATGAGGTTTGTTTACATTAACACAAGTCTGACATCTAGAAAACTGGTTTTGAATGCATAACAGAAGCTGAAATTACTGGACAATCGTATGAGAATATAATTAACGTCCTCCCTTCCCAACATGGCGTCGGAAGAGGAGCCGACAACGAAGTTTACTGATGGGCAACTGATAAATAATGTTATGAAGGCCCTTCAAGAACAAAGGAAGGTCTGCCGTTTCTGTGACGTTGTACTCAAAGTGTGCGGAGAAGAGATCTTTGCTCACAGTAATGTATTAGCAGCTGCCAGTCCATATTTCGCCTCTTTTCTTGGCACTCTGCAGGATCTTCCTCGCGCCTTTTCTCAAAAGTTACCCCAGATCATCGAGATCCACATCGAGGGTTCGAACGAGTCGAAGATCGGTTACGGCCTAGCTGTCCGTAAGCTGGTAGACTTCATGTACACTAGCTGCATCGAAATCTCACCCAGCGTGTTAACCCAAGTTATAGAGATTGCTAAAATCATGCAACTGAACACGATACTAGAATACTGTGAGAGGTATCGAAATGGCCAGCCTAAACTGCCAGAGAACGTTGAGGAGTTTTCAACTCCAGCAACTGGCGAAGATGCGACCGGTATGAAATCCGTAGACCACACCTATGGTCTTGATGATGACAGTGCCTTCCCTTCTGAGTCATCGGCTATGAATGTAAGCAAGGACCAGATGACCCAAACCAACTTCTTCACCAGTGCTAACTCAAAAGAAAGTATAACAACTGAAGACTGCGACTCGAACGTGGCCCTTGCTGAAGCTTCTGTCGTGAAAGACGATGAAGAAGATAACGCTAAAAATGAACAAACTGCCGAGTCGATCGATTCACTGCTAGACGAAGAAGGCCCGGAAACAAACACGACTACAAAATTACTAGCCGAAGTAGCCGCAGACTCTGTTACACTTGCAGATCCAGAGGCTTTGATATCATCATCCATACAAAAGACGACGACAGTTGCGACTGTATCTGAGACAATCACCGAAGAAGAGGAAGCAATGGAGACTGAAGAGAAAGTGGATCCTGATGTGACAGGAGAAAGTGATCCTGCTAAAGATTCTGGTCAGTGTTCGGGGGCAGTCCGCTCTAGCTTACGTATTCGCCTGGGTAAGAAACACACAAGGGGTCGCCCTTACCACAGAAAAAAAGGTAAGGTGAAATCTAGAGTTACCGCGACCACTAACAACAACGGCCAGACGCAGAATAATGGCACCACTACAAATAATAATGTCACGATTGAAGTGTATATATGTGACGAATGTTTGTACAGCACATATAACTATAACCACTTTAAACGACATCAAAAAATTCACCAGGACGGTAAATATAGTTGTAATAAGTGCGACTACAAAGCGAACCGGTTGAAAACATTAAACGACCATAAACGAATCCACTTACACGCTGACCTTCAGTGTAGCTACTGTGAGTACAAAGCAACTAATGCTGAGGAGTTAACGTTACACTTGTCTCGCCACAGCGGAGAACACCCGTATTTCTGTTATTTATGCGATATGAAATTTAAAACCAGAACGCAGCTTAACCAGCACATGCCAAAGCATTCCGAGGAGAAACCATTTGTCTGCACTAAGTGCTTCGCGGGTTTTAAGTGGAAGCACGCTCTGAAAAGCCACATGGTGGTCCACAGTGACACCAAAGATCATTTGTGTGACATCTGTGGCTATGCGACAGCCCACAAGAGCCAGCTGAAAGCACATCGCCTAATCCACACTGGAGAGACCTTCAAGTGCTCCATGCAGGGCTGCACTTTTCAGGCCCTTAAACAACAGAACCTCAAATACCACATGCTGACCCACACGCACGAGAAACCTCACGTGTGCCCTGTCTGTAGCCAAAGTTTCTCGCTGATTAAAAATCTCAAACGTCACATGTTACTGCATACCAACAACCGGCCCTACAAATGTGACCACTGCTCTTTTACATCAACTCGCTATGACAAGTTGAAAGGACATCTTCTTAAACAACATAACATTGGGGAGAAGCCGAACAAGAAACATCGGATTTTAGATTATCAAGTGCCCAGTGAAAAACTCGTGCAAGAGTCGACCGAGGAAGCAGATGAAAGCACTTTGAGAGAAATAACAGCGACAGTTGCTACGGAAGGTGCTACTGCTACTATTCCAGGCACAACCACACAAATCGTTATCGCTGCTGCAGATAATATCCCTGTACCTATTGCAATAACCCGTGTCAACAGTGATGGTTACACAGAAATTAGTTATCCTACTTTTCAATATGTGTAAAAAGTAAAAACCAAAAAACACACAGACGCCATTATTTTTCTTATGGTAGAGTTTTACAATTTCTGGTCGCAGTGCCAACTCCACCTTTTTTATTTTTTACTTTTTTTTTTTTTTGTAAGTATTTTTAACGATATATCTTCAAAATGCCTTGTGTAAAAATTAGGACACCATTTACGTCTTAGGGAGTTTTTCATATAAATCCTCTTTTTGTTATTCTCAAAAAGAAAAAAAAAACATTAACTTGGCAAGTTCCCCAAGTAAATGTTTTTTTGTGGTAGTATTATTTTTAAGAATTGGAAATTAGCTCTCTTTTTCAAATTTTATTACGATTTTCAGTTATTGCATTCAGAAAGCTATTACAAATGAACTAAAATCAAACATAGAGTAACTTTTTTTTTTTTCAGACTTACCTTCGTCCTTTATTGTGTTACATGGATAAAGTAGTAACTGGTTAAAATATAAGTTTAAAAAAAACTACGAGACAATTTGAGAGCTTACTAAGATCATAAATATATTAAAAATAATAAGATGAAGACATCATTTTAAAACGCCTTTCATATTTGACTGGCAACTAATCCTTAAAAGTGAAGATATTTCATTATATTAAATTCTATAAAAAAAAAAGAAATAAACATAGAGTATGGAGGACAGCATATTAATTTTGAGAAAAGATCAACATACAATTTCAAATTCTCAAATAGATCCAATTTGAATAGCAGTAGAGGTTTTTGGCTAACTGCAAGATATTTTCAAAATGGTTTTCTATTTTTATTCAAATGGATCAGGTTGTATTTTTATGTATGTGGGCATTTCTCTGATCTACTAAAGTTGTTGCGGCTTTAGACATCTGATGCCATGAAGTTGTAATGCCCATATTATGATATCATTATTAAACATTACCTGGACAGGTGAACAGTTTATTAATAGGCCTTTTAAGCTTCAGGAAATTGGTGCACATACTATTTGCATTCACAAACTGTTCATTACATACTTCAGCTAAATATTTATTTTTCTTAATAATTTCTAAATTGAAATATTTTTAAATGAGAATTTTGGATTACTTTTTTTATTCTTTTATTTGTAGGATTGTTATTCATTCTCTCAGTCAAACTTTTTATTTTTTTCGAAATGGCTATCATATTTAATTTCATTTGTGTCTATGTTTCTTATGTTTGATAAGTTTCTTTATCTGCACTTCAGACACATTTGCCTGTTGAAATCTGCGGCCCTTTTTCAGAGAGAAATGAAATGACTGCATACATTGCAACTTTACACATTCTCTGGGAAGCCAACTATCAGTTTTTGATTTTAAAAAATGTTACTGTTTCAAAGGAGAAAACAAGGACATTATTTTGCTTTCACTTTTAATGACGGTTTTAATTTTCAACTTTATTATTTAAGGATCATGAGGAAATTGAGCAAACTAAGTTTAATAACCCCAGTTGCCGAAATATAACTTAGGTTCAAAAGTATATTCTTGAGGTGACTAACTCTGCCTTGTGTATGATATTTCAAATATTCATCTCGGTCCAAGGTCTGTTCATGGTGGTCAGTTTATGTCTATTTGAAAATCTGTAATTTACAGTACACATGGTTATAATTTATGAGTCACCCAGTGAGGATTGAACTCACTCCACTGGTATGCTAACCATCACACTACGGTAGGCATCCTGATATTTACGTTGAGATTAGTATGGTATAAGTCTACAAGTGAGAACTGTTCAAATTCAGAAAAAAAAATGCAATTCTTATAAAAAATCAGGGTTCATTATCGGTGATACTGAAATTCAATTGAACTTATTTATTACCCGAACGGCAAGTATTATCATTGATTATCTCCCCTAGATTTTTTAATTTTCGAAATAACACCATTAAAAAAACACAAACTTGGTTACTTTTTTTTATTACTGCTTATGATTTATTTCACTTACTTTAAAACGGATTTTGTTATTTTTTTTATATATAAACCAGCTACCAATCTAACAGCCATAATTATGTAATTAAGGCCATATTAGCATTTTTAATTTTTCAATTTATTATTTCTTTATCAGATGTGTTTACTTATTTTGCTATTAACATTTTGTTGCTGAGATCAGTTATCAACAGGTAATGTGTGGTCTCCAGTTGCAAGTTATTTTTTCAGTAAATAACTAAGATAATAATTAATAGCATGAGAATATAAGTGTGCAAATTGGTCAGGGGACTTAATACTGGCTTTTTTTTTTTTTTTTTTTTTGACAGCTAAAACAAAAACTTGTACTTTGAGAATCCAGTTCAAAAATCAATTTTATTTTTTAACAACATAAGGCAAACCTGATTATTGTTTTTTCCAATGCTGACAATCTGTTTATTAATGATTGGCCATCTAATGAGGGCAAAATACTTTTGTTAATTCTCCTATAATTCCAATTTTTTTAATTTTTTTTTTTACATTGTATCTTTGATGGCAGCATTTAAAATTGTTGATCTTTTCATCTTTGGAATCTTTATCTTGACATTTTGATTATTTCAAAGCTTTCCATAAATGGGATTTATGTTGCTAAGTCATCTCTGTATTGAACTTCAGTTAATACATTTTATATCTATCTATTCATCCATGCAGACATATATATATATATATTTTTATCTATAAATTTGTGCCTACATATGTATTTTGTAGTAGTATAAGCAAAGCTGATGGGAATATATATATATATATATATATAATAAAAATATAGTTTTAAGCTATGCTATATTTGTAGGTTAAATTGCTCAATATCAGGTATAGAGCATATGTAAATATAAAAGTGGATATTGAGGTCAATACTCAGCAGCGACAGTCTGTTTCATGTTTAAATGCATGGCCTGAAGATTGCATTTAAGCATGAAGCAGACTCACCACTGGGTATTGACCTCAATATCCACTTATATGCACCCCCTTTATGTTGCTAGAAAATAGCTGTCAGCATTAATCTTTGTTGTTTAATTTTGTTTTATTCATTCACATAGAATTAAAGAAAAACATCAAAACAGTGGGAGTCTTGTTTTAGAAGTTCAGGATTTTTGTCACAGTAGAATTTCCTGCATCATTACGTAATTGTCAGATTGGGTTATTTTGTAAAAGACCAGTGCCACTAAATTTTGAATTTCACTATTTATGACTTTTGGGAGCTACTTTTAAAATAAGCTGGATGAATTTTGAGCTACTAATATGAAAGTGAATTCAAATATAGTAATGCTATTCTTTCACATGAAGCCTAATTCACTATATCTAGGTGAATCTGGCAACCATGTCCTTATTGGTTCATTAAAAATATGTAAGTAATAAAAAAAATTAAGAAAATAATATTAGAGGCCTTGCTTCATGGTTGTGATATTTGTGTATTTCCCACTGATGTCAGTGTTCAAGACCAGATAAATACCAGATTTCAGATGCTAATTTTAGAAAACTTGAACCTTCATACCCACAAAGACTAGAGTGTCAAAAGGACGGTTTTTCCCTTTGACACTGCTATTATTTTGATTACTATCACTCTGCAACAATGTTTATTTAAAAAAAACGATTATTAGAATTGCAATAAAACCTAAACATGTGATGATAGTGAATTAATACATTTTCTTTGTTCTTCAGGATTGACAACAAAAATAATAAACACTATTTGTTGTTTATCTACACTATTTATTATATTGTCTATTGGAATGGTTGGCAAAACATCAGCTAATTGCTAATCAATTTGAACTTTATAAAATGGTAAATAGGATGTCCTTATAGTCCACATATTTTAATAATTTAGTAATAGTTTATAAATTTATGAATAAAAAAATTGTTTTCATATTTATTTCTTTTATAAGTTGGTAAATGATAAATATTGTGTTGCATTAGTTTATAATTGTATTAGTAAATGTAAGTAAACAATCTAATAAATAAATAATGTTTAATATTTTTGTTGTAAATTCTCAAGAACAAAACAAATGTATAAATTTACTTTTGTCATATGTTTAGGTTTTATTAGGATTCTAATCATTGCTTTTTTAAAAGAATAAACATTCCTGAATAGTAAAGTTTACTTAAAATAATAGCGGTGTTAAGGGAAAGCCATCCTTTTGACATTCTGTTTTTTTGCAGATACGAAGGTCCAAGTTTTCCCTATTTTCATTTGAAAGATTGGAGCAATGTAATCTTTTTACTCCCCCCCCTACCATTTATCCCAATTTGACCTTTTGCTGTATTAAACTAAGCTTAGTAAATACTAAGATAAATATCAGATTGAAATACCAACTGGTAAATGATCACTATCCCAGTACCAAAGGCAGGTGGTGGGAACCCCTCAAAATTGATGAGTTTAGTTATTTTTTATTATTTGTTAATGTAGAATATATTACTATTGATGAAATGTTCATTTTATATGCTTGTTTGTATATGTAAAATAATGCATGAACATATACGCACACAAGTGCAATTACAGAAAATAGATGATAAAAATCTGTTAAGAGAAAAATTTCAGCAGTGGGATTAATTACAGATTTCTTTTCCTGGATACATTCCTCCATTTATTTATTTTTATTTTTATTTTTTTGTAATTAATTTTATCCCTGGATTGCACCTTTTATCACCCTGAAAAAATTCAAACAGAGAATTTTCTAATGCCTACTGCATTTAATAGTCATTTTGAAGAGGACTCGAAAGGCCCGAAAATCAATTGCTGTAAAGAACTTGTTAAATTCTCTTGTTGGGAGATACTGAAATCTCTAAACTTATAAATAAATGCAAAAGCAAATAAATTGAAAATAGAAAAAGAAAATTCTCTTTTTATCAGAAAATTAAATTCCTTAATTATTTTTTTTTTTTTTTTTAGGTCATTTTTAATGTAAATCAATATTTTAGACATACAGGGTGCAATGGATAAACTGTTGTCTAAATTACACAAAAATGAAAATAACAGTGACATCTCATTTTAGCAGATAGTTACCAAAATGACACAAAAATATCTTAAAATAAAGAATAAATTTATTCAATAAAA